TCAAGGCCCCCCTAAGCTCCATAGTACCTATCTTAAAATTCACCAAACGGTCGTCCTTAGCGGTGTGGAAACTAGAGAGGTTCTATTACACCTTCCAGTACATCCCCTTAACACTAAAGACACGATGTACAGAGAAACTAAATACAGTACAGTACCTTCACAACCTCACCACACCATGGGCCACACAATACAATCCCTCAGGTACTACAGAAACACCACTTGCATAAACTTGCAAATGAAAAATGATGACTTTAATTGGATCATGATCTACAGTATTTCAGTACCAAGCTTATTAGGGATCTTGGATAGGTGAGTCTACTCAATTTTTTATAAAACCTAACAACTCTTTCAGTTATAATGTCCATATGAAGGATAAGCCTCACACAAAGCAGCACATGATTTGATAATGTCTCGCATACAAAATTTGGATATACAGTACAGCACTGTAACTAAAATCACACACGAGTCCCCCCCCTTACAAAACGACAATTAAATTATGTTTTTGAATGACCCCCCCCCCCCTAAAATTAATAAGAAATCTGATTTTATTGGAAAGGAAAATATAAATAATCTGCGAAGCTACTCTGCCAGAATGAGGGGGTAACCTGTGTTCTGAAGCAGCAACAGCATTCAGTCACAACAGTGTAAACTGCTACAATAAGCCCTTAGTTATATATGAGGGTGTATCCCTAAAGCAGTCGGGTAATTGTAGTCATAGAACAGTAACCCCATTAATCCTTTGTCAACAGTGATGGGGAATATTAATACTGTAATAATAAAACATTTTAATTTTACCATAAACTCCTGCTTACACCACCAAATTCCTGGCATCAGGAAAATAAAGAAATAATTACTCCAATCTCAAGTGAGGCCTTGTAAAAGCTGCCCAACCACCACTAGTACATTCTTCATCAAATTTAAGGGCATCAATTTCCTCCTTGGTGGGGCACCACACATGAGAAGAGGCAGTACAGTACAGTACATGTAAATCTTAACTCGTCCACGGTCCTTCCATTACTATTAGGCAAGAAGCCTACACCACCTCAGGGCAGTTGTCAGAAGTCCCCCACAAAGATGCTCAACGAGTACAAAACATATTGAACTTCTGTTGTTGTTCATAAGAAATTTAATATAAAAATATGGCTGCAACTCACTAACTGTTTTGTTATTACCCGGCACCATTAGTTTTAGTTCATACTGTTGAAACATAATGTAACTGTTATTCACCTTAATTTCCTTTGATAATTTTGTAACAATTCAACAATCGAACTTGAGTTGTTTAGATTCTAGGTAGACAGTTACAAAAAGAAAGAAAATTAAAAAAAAAAACATTGTAAGATTTAAATTAAATGGAATCTCACTGGGCAGCACAACTCATCAGTTGAGAGAGAGAAACACACCCTTGTTCCTATACAAAGTATAACAACAATGATGTGGCTCACCACACTCTTACCTTTGATATAATGATGATTTAGTTGCAGCCAAAGTGAGTGAATGAATACAAAACAGATGCTATTAATTGGTACAAACAAAGCTTACATGTTATCACCGTCTTATAATTTGTGAGCGATGACCTTACGAAACTCCGGCCCAATGAAAACGCTCCTTTCAACGACAAGTGAGAGTTGATAGCACTAACGAGGAAGCCATCGCCACTTCAAATATTATTTTCTAGATATCCTCTGCTAAGCTATGGCAGCATGCCTAATATACAGAGAAATACGGTATATAGCAACAATTGCTGGATATGTTCTAATAGTGTGACAGTCTGTACAGCCAAGGTTAGGTACAGTAATGGGAACACAGTTGTAAAGATTTAGGACACCTTTGACACCATTAATTACAACAATTTTCATCTCCATACATATACTAATTCTCACATCTATAAATTTCAATCATGAATATACTTTGAACGACCAGTATAACTGCTGTGTTTTTACCAGTCACATCACCTATAACTTCTGCAGTCAGCTCCCGAGACAACTGATCAAACTTAAGTAAAAATTGATGAAATTCTACTTCCTGAAAAGTAAACAATATTAAGGAAAATAATCACAACAATAATGAAGTACTGTAAGATATCTCAGTAATGGAATTCAGTAGCTGCTGTATCAAGGAAACCTCTCATAACTGCAATTATTTATGTGTTCAGTTATTTATATGGAAATATTCAAGAACTTAGGAACAGTTTTTACCATCCCGTGTCCCTGATAATTACATTAAAATGCCAGAAACAACATTATTTACCAAACTAACAGCAATTTCAGCTTGAAAACACACGAGGTCTGTCCAAAAAGAAACCAAACTTTTTAAATAGCACGCCAATGAGCCGGCGTAGCGTGCTCGCGACGGGAGCACTGTGTAGCGGTGACCTTGACCTTTAGTCTAACACTAGCCACGCCAAGTCAATTAGTCAGCAAGCTACACGTGCTAGAGTGAACGTGTGTTAAGTGCACTTGGTGATTTGTTGCAAGTTGAATAGTGAAGGATCTTGAAGAGCAACGTGTTTGTGTGAAATTCTGTTTCAAATTGGGAAACCTTTTAAGGAGATTTTTCAAACGTTAACAGGCTTATGGGGAGGATTGTTTGGGCCGTACACAATGTCACGTGTGGTACCAGCATTTCAAAAGGGGAAGAACATCCACCGAAGACGATCACAAATCTGGAGGTCAAGAGTCGCTCAAATGTGGAAGTGATGTTGATCGTCATTTTTGATTGGAGGGGCGTCGTTCATCATGAGTTTGTTCCACGTGGTCAAACAGTCAATAAAGAGTTTTACTTGGAGGCCCTGAAGCGTTTGAGGGAGGCAGTGCAAAGGAAGAGGCCTGAGGTGTGGACAAGACCTGGATGCTGCACCATGACAATGCACCTGCTCACGTGTTGCTCCTTATCCATGACTTTTTGGCGAAGCACGAGACGACTATCGTCCCCCAGCCGCCCTACTCTCCGGATTTCGCCCGTGGACTTTTTTTGGTTCCCAAATTTGAAATCCACCCTGAAAGGTCGCCTATTTCAAGCGATAGAAGAAAATTCGCTACGAGACCTGCACACTATCCCTCAAAACGCGTTCCAGAACTGGAAAAAACATTGGGAGCGGTGAATCAACAGTGGAGGGGAGTACTTTGACAAGTCTGATGAAGTTATAAGTAAAGCAATAAATTTGTTTTTTTAAAAAGTTCAGCTTCATTTTTGGACAGACCTCGTATATATGACTGTTGCTGTCTCCAACAATCTTTAACTGGAGACAAAAGTTTGAGCATTCTCCTTGTACAATGATACAGCACTTTATTGCCGATGGTAAGATAGACGATATGTTAACAATATCCACTTTGTTGGTGGTGGCGGTGTTACTGGTATTGTTGGTAGCTGAAAGTGTAACTGGTGAAAATATTAGCTTTTTGAAACACAAGCAGATTTTTGGCGGCAGCGTTGATTGCTTCAGAAACCCGTACTGACCAGAATAAGAACCAATTTACGTAGCAATTTACACTGATCTGACACAAGCATTCTAACTTGGGACGTATATTGCCCTCACTTAGCGTCTGCTCCCATCACCTCAGTCTCCCCCTCTTCCTCCAACTGGCTAACTCTACAGTATACTCTTTAATAGTACAAATCTCACTCCCCATCCTTGCAGCACATGTCCCTTACACCTCAGCAAAAACTGATCTACTCAGCCCAAAATTTGTTCCACTTTCACGTCTCCTTTCTATAATGACACTCAATTCTCTGCATCCTATTTATCTCACACATTACTTTCAAGCACCACTACAAATAAATTCCTCGCTCTTGCACCAAAGTCCATGTTTCACTCTCATCTAAAACTACCAGCTCAATAACTCCCGCCCACCCACAGTTTTGTCTCCTTTCGTGTGGTTTTATTTATTATTATATTTTCTTTCTACTGAGGTCCAATTCATCCTTCCACGTGTTGATACATTCGTTCCAAGATATATGCAACAACTCCATTCATTTTATCACATTTAGGCAAATATCAATTTCTTCCAGCCTATCTACTCGACTTAATTTACCTTTAACATATCAACAGCTATTTCATCCAATCCTGGTGCTTTGCCTATCATGAGCTTATCCATTGCCAGGGTATATTGTTTACTTTAAACAGTCAATTCATTTGTTCTCTTGGTATTCTCACACTTGCCACCACCCTCTAGAACAGCCTCAGCTTCTCTTTAAAACTTTGTGACAGCCTTTTCCATTTTTCTTTTGTTATTCACCTTATTTTCATTCATTCCTGATTCTCTATACATCTCCACACACTTTTCTGCCTTTCCGTAACTAATTCTTATATTGCAATCCCCCATCAGTATCACTTTATCCCCCACACTAAATCTTTCAATGCAGTTACAGTACAGTATTCAGGTTGTCCCAAAAGCTCTCTCTTTCCTCCTTGTTTGTCTCGTTCCCTGGTGCATGTGTGTTTATGATCTACTTTTTATCCACTAGTATCTTTAAATATGATCCATTATATATTTTGGAACGGATCATCTTATATTCCGTTAAGCAACTCCACATTTCCCAACTCAAGAGAACCATCATTTTTTTCACTCTTACTGACTTTCATAACTTTCTCCTTTCACTTTTCCCAAACTCACATCTCCTTTGTTTTGTACAAATTCATGAGATCCAGAATTCCTTTCATTCATCATGACTTATTTTATTATTCCCAGTTAATGCAAAATTTGAGGAGGTCAACTGTAGATATATGTACAGTACTTTAAAAAGAATGCTCTGCCCTTCAAAACAACATGTGTCTTGGTGGTGACAAGTCACATGTATGAAGTCCACAACTGTACAATAATTTGAAGAACTTCAAACAACCACATCATACTGATACCCTTAATAACAACCCAGGAAGTATGAATTATTAAATAATAATACAGGAAGAAACAATTATCACAATTAAGAACAATAGACACTGTCATTCACTGTATATTTTTTTACAGTGCACCAGTGTGCACCGCAGGTTGTTGGGTACTCACAGTGCATGTCTCGCTCATGTTCATATTCAATAAATGCATATCCCCGAGGTTTTCCGGTTTTGATGTTGTGAACCATAACAATCTGAAAATAATAAAAAAAATTAACAATAATATACTACATGCAACTTCCACAATCTGAAAACAAATAAGAAATGTTTGCCCAACCTTAATACATTCAGCAGTTAACTGAACATTATATCAAGCCTTGACCAAACTAGCATTTTCACATACCGTACTACACTCAAAAATGTACTTCCCATCAACACCTTAAGACTTATTTGAATAAATCATCATCCATATCCTAAAATGCCTTTCCTTTTATACATCACTTAAGTAACTTAAGACTTTCCATACACATTATACACACGGCCTATTTTGCATGACAAAACACCATCCTCTGAAATCTATGCAGATTTGAAGTCAAATGTATGACCATGAAATATATTGTTACACAAACTTTTGGGTGGCCATGACTCAACTCTTTCACTTCAGTTCTCAAAGACTGTATATGAAAACCTCTTGAAACCAGATTCTGCCTCAACCCAGACAGTACAGTACAGTATAGAGAAGTCCAAGCAGTCTCTTAGGTCTGGAACTAAGATCATATTACTGGAAAAAGCCAAAATGCATTGGTGCAAACTATGCAGACGATTGTGTAATGTGACACTGAAAGATATAAGAAGGCAGCTAAGTATTGAGAGTACTGACAAAGTTTTGTAGAGGTAAGCTGAGGTGATTCTTGCATGTGGAGAGAAAAAACAAGATCAACTGTGGACAGAAGGAGTGCCAGGAGCAGCCCAACAATGAAATGGGGAGAGGTTACAAGAAATGACATTTAAGACTTGAGAAACTGCAAGAAACTGTTCAATATAAAAAGCTGCCATTTTAAGCAAGTGTGGAAAATGGTTATAACACGTTGATAATCCCTCAAATTTCAAAAAAAATTTATGTATAATATTTCTCATGTTATTAAATATAAATAACTGACTATAAGAGTATAACATAAGGAAGCTCTCCCACACTTCTTGCAGGTGAGCTAAATACAAGTTTCCAAACAGAAATAAACACACAAGTCTAACCTTTTTAATGGGTCCATATATTTCAAACTCTCTTCTTAGCTTCGACTCTGAAGTATCATAATTAATACGAGAAACAAAGAGAGTTTTATATGGGTCTCCAGTTGCTGCTTCGCTATTGTGAGGATCCCAAAGAGCAATTTCTTGTTCCAGTTTGTACTGCATTTGTTCTGCTTTCTCCCTACGCTTACGCTCGAGGCGCTCCTCGCGGGTCTCCACTCGTGTGGGAGGAGGAGTGTCTTTAGGATCCTGTTAATAAAAAAAAAAAATAAATTCATTAAAATACTCTAGTGTCACAGTTAAAAAAATAGTGAGGAAGGATAAAAATCAATCAAACATATAAGGTGACAAGAAATGAACACAAGTGGTGATACAACACACACTCACTCACCCTCCATCCAATGTAATGTACCTGACATTTTTTTTTGTTAACCTCACCTCTGGTACTGTGCAGGCACACTCAAGTTTAAGGTAATGAAAGTAGACAACTGCCAATAAAAAAAATTAACTAGTGCCATAAATTGTAATTTAAACAAATTTGCTAAATAAAAGGTTTTTGCAAAACTAGTGAAGATAAATGGAAGAAATAACCAAATCCTGCATATGATTAAACTTTATACTGTATGAGTCTAGTAAGTTCTGGATGATACTTTACCTCAAATCTCTGTATCAACAATGCCAAGCCAGAGTATCCATCTGTCCTCTTCTCCCATGTCAACTTGTCAACTGGTGGAAGATATGGAATGGGATCTCTTGGTGCAAACAGCGCCAGTAAATTTGGCGGTAGATACTGCGTCATTTTGAGGCTGAAACAAATATAACTTCATTCAATTAGAAACGTTAAAAGTAATCCAAAAATACAATACAATATTAATGGTGCCAGGAATCACAAAACAGTATTGTACAGTCAGTCAAGATCCAGTGACCCCAACCTGTGTCTCGGACTCTCGGTTTTACCTGGCAATACTTGGTAAAGTACGGCTGTATGTATCTCTTACTTAAGGCAAGTTTCTTACACACTAGGGGTTAGGTTAGTCTTTTTTTTTTTTTTTTTAGGTTTTTACATTGTTTGACCTTCCACTTTTTTTTCTTCAATATATCTACTGCTCATTTCTGATGGCAATGAAGGTCACATTTGTATTTAACACGATGATTTACACTATGAAAACCCATTTTCAAAAGTCATTAGGTGGTGGCAACTACTAAATATTTACCAAGTGGGAATTTTTTTAGTCACAAGTGTCAAGTGTGTTCCAGTTAAGTCTGATAAGGGAGGTTCTTTAGGGGGCATGATCCATCTCCTTCCTTATAGGCACTCATGACTATGGGACCCAATTTCCCTCTACTTCAAAGTCCTTCCCATATGGCATCACAAAAATTGTGACCAAGTCCCAGGTTGCTCATCTGACTTTCAGCCTCATTTACACACAATTTCATAGTCTCAGTTGTTTCTCTTACTATTGACAACACAACATACATACTATATTGTTTCTCACTCTTGATTTAACTTTTCGTTTTTTATTTATTTATGATTATTATTATTTTGTTATTAATTTTATTAAGTGTTGTAATTATATTCCCCCCCCCCCCGAAGTGGGTCAGAGACCTGTGCCCGGGTGGTCTGATCCTGTGTATAAAAATAAAAATAAAAATGTGCCTTTACTTGTTGTGGGGAAGGTGGGCATATCTCCTTAACTGCTCATTTCTGATAAAACTGAAGATTAGATTCAAGTGAAACACCATCAAACACACCAGAAAAACCTATTTTAGATCGTATAATTCTATGGCTGTACTATGCCAAATTTTTACCCAGTGGCCCACCATAGGTGGTGCTAAATGTAATACTGACAAAGTAACATCACACTTTGAGGGGAGAAGTCCAAGAATTTTCTCTAAGTGTTTGGAAGGGTCACTTTATAGTACAGTAGTGCACCGTTCTTTCTTTGGGTATTAGAAATGTGTATAAAAAAAAAGGTCAATTTTTATTTATGCACCGGTCTTTGTTTGGATATTAAAAACATGTTTTTCCTATGATATTTGATGGGTTTTGAACAAATTTGATATTTATTTCTGCCGGAAATTGCTAGTTTTTTTTTTTTGATTGGGGGAGAAAACGAATTATCTAACCTGACCTAACCCCTGGCCGGGGGCAGACCCCCGGTAGGCCTAGCTTAAACTAACCTAAATGTCTCGGTAGTTTAAAACTTTGGGGCGCGTCATGTCTGAAAGTACAATTCCTTAGTTAGAAGTGGAAGGTCCAGGGATACAAAAATTGGATAGAATAATCGTCTTCTCGTAAAACTCAGCAATAAACTTAAAATAATCGTAGGAGCACAATAACAACCAACCTCCACCACGACCATTGTGAGACTGGTCAATGAAATTACCCAGGCTGCTTGCTTTGAAAAAAAAAATCAAATGATTGGTCGAAAAAATTTTGCATGATGATATCGATACATCATTGGTCACGACTGGATGACATCAGTCAATATTGTGCATGCGTGATGCACAGATAACATCTCCTCAAGGTAAATAAGACATGAAGACAACTGTGACCGAGTGAATTTTATAATATTGAAAAATAAATATCTCGGTTACCCTTAATTTCCGGCTGACATAACATGGAAGCAAAAGGTCTTAGAATTGTCTAAACATTACAAAATACATATTAAAATATTAATAACAGCGAGAGAAAGACCGTTGCATGAAGAAAATTTCACCCCAAAACATAGAAAATCACCAAATAACAACCAAACCTAACCTAATCAGGGGGATCCATGAGGGAGGAGCCCCCTGATTAGGTTAGGTTTGGTAGAACGGTGCACTTATATAAAAAGACCTTTAGAAGTTTGGAACCTACATCAGATTAGATATAACGTCATGTAGACCATACATACATAAACTATAAGAGTACATATTATTACCCCTCTTGCCTGTAGCTACAAATCATGTTACAATTAAATGTCAATGGAAATAAACTTAAAATATTTTCGTTGGGTATCTATGGCTAATTTATCTTTCTGTTTCTCATTATTTATAAGCCTAAACTGCTTACGTGTATACAAAACCACTGTGACCCTGAATGACGGGTTTTACTAAATAAATACCAAACAATTCTTCCACATCAAGAGGCTTGTCATCTTCTTTCTCAGTCTTCGATATATCACCAACATACAGCATTCCCTTACTCTCATTATAATAAATACAACCATGAGAAAACTTTACCTTGTTTACACACTTTACGAAGACATAAATATGAGATGAATTAATATATTGGCGAGGTAATCCGTGGCGGCGCCCAACACACTGACCGCGCCGAGGATCACAACAACATGGCCGACAGCATCATCCTCGTGAAGTAAATAATATACATGATTATTCAGTATTGCTGGAGATATTCAAATGACTATCTCTGCTCCTATGTTTAAACTATATTTCATATCTAAGTAAATAGGGTGGAAACGATGGACCAAGGTTCACAATTAGTAATAAGTATATAAACTACCTATAATAATAATTTACTACATAAAAGTACATAATGTAAAGTTGTAAACAAATTATTGTAAATAAAACTAAACTATTGATTGTTTTTCCTATCTTTACAGAATGCATAATACATAATAAGATTGTAATCAACAAATTAAACTATTTTAAATACTGTTCTATTACTTAACGTGGTATTCAGCTAACTGTTGTATCCACAAATAAAAGTTAACGTGTAAATGTCAAACCTACAGCTATGTTATTTCTTAAGTTTATTCTAGTCAGTAATTACACTAACCCATCACCAATAAAACAAAATATGAGATACGACTTTCTAATGTATTATGATAAACGAATTAAGACATAGTTAAGCCTCAATATTACTATTATTATACTTATATAAGAAAATAAGGAGTCTGCAATAGGCCGGTTGGCCTGTGCATGACATCTCCTGTCGAGAGTTACTACCACTCTCTATCGTCCTTGAATCAATCTAGCCTCCTTTTAAAAAATTTCCAGCATTCCAGCACTTACTACAAAGTTGCTAAGCTTGTCCCACTCGTCCACCACCTCATTTGTGAACCAGTTCCTTCCTAAACCTAAACTTATCCAACTTAAATCCTATCCTGCTCGGATATAAGAACTTTATCTATATCTCCTCTATTGATTCATTTCTCTCACTTAAATACTTCTATCATATCTCCCGCACTCGTCGTCTTTCTAGGGAATGCAAGTTTAGTTTTTTTAACCTATCCTGATATGGAAGGTTTCTAAGTCCCGGAATCATTTTTGTCATTCTTCGCTGCACCGACTCTAGTGAATTTATATCCATTCTATAATAGGGGCACCAGAACTGAACAGCATAATCGAGGTGCGGCCTGACTAGTTCAAGATATAGTTGCAATAAGACCTCTGCACTCTTATTACTTACACTTCTAGATATAAAACCTAATACACTGTACTCTGTTTGCCTTATTTCGAACATTAACGCACTGTTTTCTAGGCCGTAGGTCCGGGCTTACAAGTACCCCTAGGTCTCTTTCACAAGTCGACTTCTCTAGGTTGATGTTGTTAAGGCTGTATACATTGACAGTATTTGTTTTTCCAATATTAAGTACGCTGCACTTGCTGATGACGAATTTCATTTGCCATTTTCTGACCACTCCTGTAGTTTATTTAAATCCTCCTGTAGTGCATTTGCATCCTGCCCTGAATTAATCTGCCGCCCTATTTTGGTGTCATCCGCAAATTTGCTTATGTCACTGCTGATCCCAGTATCAAGATCGTTCATGTAGATTATGAACAAGAGTGGGCCCAGTACTGACCCCTGAAGAATCCCACTGATTACACAGCCCCACTCAGATTTAACACCATCTACGCTGACCCCCTGTGTTCTATCGGTGAGCCATGATTTTATCCAATTTAAAACTTTCCCCTCGATACCGTGGAACAATCTACCAGAGAGTGTTGTGACAGCACCGAGTGTGAGCTCTTTCAAGACAAGACTTGACCAACACTGGAGCGGGTTCAGGTACATTCAGGAGCCGGTGCATGCCCAGTACTTGCCAACAGTGCGTGACAGAGACGTGACCGATCGCCCGGGCGGCTAGCGAACCGATTTTCGCCATTATCTACTACCTCGAAGACTTTCCTAAAAAAAATCAGCAGATTTGTTAGACAAGATTTTCCCTTTGTAAACCCATGTTGAGAGTCGAAGATTAATTTGCTTTTCTCTAAATGCGATCGGATGCTATTTGCTTTAATTGATTCAAGAAATTTCCCCACTACTGACGTCAAACTGATCGGCCGGTAATTTGACGCTGATGCTCTGTCTCCCTTTGTTAATATTGGTACTACATTTGCCTGTTTCCACAAGTATGGCACAACTCCCGTGTCTAATGATTTTATAAATAAATTTACGAGGGATCCGCTAATCTGTTCCCTACTATTCTTTCAAAACTCGTGGGAAAATTTCATCCGGCTCTGGGGATTTTGTCTTCTTTAACTTATTTATCCTCTTAAGAACATCCTCTTTTTTTTTATAGTGATATTCTTTAATTTCTCTTCTTCATTTCCCCTAAATATCAGTTCCACCTCTGGAATTTCCTCGTGAATTTCTCCTGTGAAAACTGATAAGAAGTAGCTGTTTAATGCTTTGCTTATTTTCTCACTACCATCGATTACTTCCCCTCTCTCTTACTTTAAAGGCCCCACTTTGTCCTTTATACATTGATAGATTATTGCGCACATAATGAATACAGATTAAAAGTATGAAATAGTACAAAATAACTAAACATGATACAAAACACATTAAGACATGCTCCTTGAGACCCAGTGAGGTTAATTCATACTTATTACAAAACTCTTACATCCCGCTTTGATGTCACCTCACCCAGCAGATGTATTATTATATATGTTTTGAATAACTTGTTATTTACGCATTTTCAGACCATACAAGGTATTCCATTATCAATATTTGCAATTTCCCTCATAACCCTGCCCACTTTGTGATTAAATTTTTATTTTTTTTAATCAAAAAGGAGTAAAAGGGGGAAAAACTAGAATTAAAATTTCCGAAGAAAACGCTATAAAGTATCCATTTTTTATCTATACAAATCAATTAATATGGAGTTCTGTGGTTGACCTTTCTCAAGTTGTAAGTATTGGTTATGTCTTGCCATGCGTTATTAAATGTCTTTTGTATCACACAATGCTCTCTTAGTCTTTCTTGTTATTATTTTTTCTTATCTGAAATAAGGTCTTTGTCAGCTGTCCTTGGTAATAAAAACATGACTGAATATCAAATATTACCAACAACCAGCCTACCAAAATTGGGCTTGTGCCTTATTAAAATACTGATAAATCTTGGGACCAAACGTACGGATACGCTTAACAATTCATTTGTGAAATACAGCTAATAAAATACCTGTATATACTTTCATCAATTAACATGCAGCGGCGGTATGTGTACGGTATCCGTTCCTATCTCGTAAAGGTATTTTTATAAGTTCGGTTAATAAATTATTTATTATTGACATAATATTATATATTAAAATAAATTCTTACTTAAAATGAACTTATCTTGGTAAAAATTATATGAAGGTTTGTATTTTTATACTTAGGGATGAATGAATGAGTCAGTGGAGGAGAAGGAAGTGAGGCTGTTGTTTACGTGACACAACACAACACAACACTTCTCTCATATAGGTAATCTTTCTAGTGAATTATTATGTGTATATACTAGTACGATAATTATATATATGTGTGCCTAATGTAATTTTATGGATGCTAATTATTTCGATCTTCGTATCTTAGATGCTTTTTACAATAAAAATAATCTAATACAGTATAACAAAACCCAACCTTAAATATTGTATTTTACTGTTTTATTGTAAATTGGGTGATGTTTCATAAGAGTAGTCTGGCCATAGCACCAATTTCATAAATATAGGAGATAAACGCTTTCTTACCTCTAGATAGTGACAAAAAATGCACAAGTAATGTTCTTTGCACAATATCACATTTTACATCTGAAATCAGTGGAGGAAGACCGCCAGATACAGCCTTGCTGCGTGTTCTTTTCCCAGCAAGGAATTTGGGATAATTTCTGAGGGTAAATTTTTCTTGTAGCTCCGTTCACTTGTAGCAAGTGTATTTGTGTGTGCTGAGACCGAATATGATCTTCCTTTTTGGCGGAAATTAGCCGGGGGTTTTTTAGCGAGATTTTTTCATTTGACGTTTTCCGAGAAAGAGTGCCTAAGCGACTCAGAAATACACAATAAAACACTAGAAAAACAATAACCTAACCTAACCTAACTGACTCTCACCATATGATGGAATCACCTATTTCTTACCTTATTGGCCTGGTTCTTGTTCGTCGTTGCATTCTGGGATTCTTACACAACGTCACATATGTTGGTCTTTGTGATATTTACATTCAGTCTTGCTTTTAGTACACTTTACTGAGGTTGGAAGAACACCATGCGATCGAAAAAATGCTATAGTTTCTACGTTTTTTTTTCCAAAAACTCGCAATCAGCTGCATATACTTTAAGTGACATCCATCGCAGACTTCCATGGTTGGAACTGAACTTGAATTTCAAAATATGAGAGACCCAAAATAAAACTCGATTTTGATTGGGCTAAATATACTCTGAATTAGCAAAACGCTTTTCATTGGCCGCGTGACGTGTACAAGTACGCATGCGCGTCATGATTTATGAAGGAGACGCGAGAGACACGCAGTGTTAGGTGAGAGGCAGACGATAATGGCGGGAAATAATGGAAGAAAATATAAATTTATCTGGAAAAGCTATATCCGTTATTATACATTTCCGCCGGTAATGTAATAGATGAAAATGATCATATAATTAGACGTCGTATTCAAATATGATAATAGATTAGTGGTAGGAATGAACGGAGCTACAAGAAAATAATACCTTTCTGAGAATAGCACTACCACAAGAAGGAGCTGTTCGATTTAGTTTATTTTTTCCACATGTTTTTAATCATAATAGTATTTTAAAAGAGGCGACATTGTTAGAGATTCAGTTATTATTTTTCTTTAGGACAGAGCGCGCCCAAAAGTTATAAACGACTGAAACATTTAGGTCTCCCTATTCTGAGCATTTTGAACCCCATATATACCAGGCAGAAATGGATAATAGTGACACTATTTAATTGATTTTACGTAGTTTTCAGTCTTCGTCTCTGTGGGGTGGGGGGGGGCAAAAACGAAAATTTTCTGCCCCAAATGAAGGTCAGATTCGTTTAAAACACACCAAAATACACTGGATAAACATATTGGTCAATCCCTAGGGACGCATGTCCTAAAGAAAAAAATTACAGAGATTCATTTTAAAGTCCCCTTCGTTTTTTATAGGAAAATATATTTCTCTCGTATATTTTGGTGAGCTTGTTTAAATCTGATCGTTGTTTTCTTTGGAAAATCCCTATTTATGAGAAAATGTCAGACATATAGAACTAACCAACCAAAGAAACCTACCTAACTTTCTAGCTGGGGGGTTCCAACCCCCTGCTATATTAAACAGAAAGTACTATACTTATTTTGATAACTGGTATCAATGAAAGCAACTTTGTTGAAGTGTCATGGTGTAATTTTACGTTTTTTTGTGGATGTGAGAGTACACTTGGACCAAGTGGGTCGGTTGTAAAAAAAAAATTCAAAAAAGGAAACTAACCACAAAAATTAATGTAACATCAAGTACTGTATCTTACATGACTTATCTAGCTGTTGACACTCAGATAATTGCATTGGCCACAGGTTGCAGTTTTTCTAGAATACCATACTTCACAAGAATGTCTATTGCATCATTGTTTGAGTTGAGCATTAATTCAATAATGTCTGAAGAAAAAATATTCACAATTGTAACACACACACACACACATCCATGTTCAGGAGAGACTGGGGAAGGAAAGATGAGGAATATTGGGACAGTACTTGCCGCTGATTGGCTGAAACAATGAAGTTTAAAAGCTCTTCAGTTCTCATTGACTGCCGGCTAGATACTAGGACTGTACTTACAGACAACCATCATGATGCATCAGGCCCAGAAAAAAATACCTGGTACTGTATTGTTTTGATACAAATGTTTGTCAGTGATATATTTCTGTGTTTCTATCAGTTTGTTGGAAAAGGTTGTGATTGTGTGGGTTGTAGGATTAGGTTGTGATTGTGTGGGTTGTAGGATAAGGTTGTGATTGTGTGGGTTGTAGGATAAGGTTGTGATTGTGTGGGTTGCAGGATAAGGTTGTGATTGTGTGGGTTGTAGGATAAGGTTGTGATTGTGTGGGTTGTAGGATAAGGTTGTGATTGTGTGGGTTGTAGGATAAGGTTGTGATTGTGTGGGTTGTAGGATAAGGTTGTGATTGTGTGGGTTGCAGGATAAGGTTGTGATGTCTCATAATCAGTGTTGTGCAGCTGTCAGTCATCACTAGAACACACAGTTATTAATGCTTGTTAGTAACTAGTGATTTTTTGGCATTTGTTTATCATTTATTTTTATTCTATACTTTATTTCCTGCAAGTTAAAATAATTTTCTATACAGTAAATTATTTGTATATAAAACTCAAACAAAATAGACTGCAAAATGCTATTCACAATATCACTCTGTGCTTGAGAACTGCTGTTACTTGTGAGACATCTGGTTATGATGCTGTTGATAGCTCAGTAAGATGGCTCCAATCAGTCCATTAGTGATGCAACATCACATGCTTCAGGTGTGATTTTTTCTGTAATCAAAGCACTTGTGTTCTATTGTAGCATATCATTTAGCTGGAATGGTCAAGGCAGATGCTGTACGTATTGAAAAATAAGGTGATGTCACCCAAATGTTTGTTGATTTATAAGTAATTCTCCTTGATTATGAGTTGTTGTTTTGGTAGACCTGTTCTTTGTGATGGATGATCATTGATTCACCCAACCTTCTGGAGTGTTAAATGAGAATGAAAGTATTTGCTTTGGACTGGAACAAATACAGTAGGATCATATTTATCTGAATCTTTCTCTTTCCCAGAGTCTTAATTTTTTTTTTTTGGGGGGGGGGGAAACTGCAACAGTTTAGGCTGATTTATACATATAAGTACTGTAGCTCCTTATTGTTGAGGTAGGATTGATTCCGTCCAAGTTTTTCTAACTCCTAAAATTCCTTCTTAGGAAGTCAGACTTTATCTCTTAATTTCATTCTATTGAGTAGAGTCCTTTTTTTTTCAGGTGAATATGTCCCACATTTTGGAAGGTACAAGTGGAGGCATAGGTGGTCTGATCATTCGGAAAACCAAGAAAGAGGATGACAATTTTACCTTTAAAAAGCCTGCTATACCCATAAGAGGATCCATCTTTGGGTTGGACAAACTTGCAGCTCTCAAAAGGAAAATACACGAAGATGACCATTTGAACAAGAGTGAAGTAAAAAGTAAAAAGTATTCTTCTTCTTCTTCTTCTTCCTCTTCTTCTTCTTCAAGTGATTCAGATGATGATGCTGATGATGATGATGATGGCAAGAAAGAGGGACAAGATAAGTACAGTGACAAGGGAAAAGGGAGGGAGTACCGCTCCAGGTACGATGAGACGCCTACTTATACAGGTGGTGTAAATAGGGAAATAAAAGATAAAATGATTGAAAAACAAAAGAAAATAAGAGGTAAGTTTGTTAGTGCATCAACGAAGGAAAAAAAAAATGAAAGAGAGAGGGAACCTAGGGGGGATAGGGACAGAAGTAGAGAAAATGAGAGAGACAAAAGAGATAAGTACAGGCATAGAGACAAATACCGAGATAGATATAACAATGATAAAAGTGAGAGAAGAAATTACAATGATAGAAGTGAGAGATATAACTACAGTGAAAGAAGTGAGAGGTTGGGTGATTACAGTGAACGATCAGAAAGGGACTGGTCAGAGAGATCCAGCAGAACACCCAGATTTTCTGAAGCTCCAGAAACACCGAAGATTCCCGGGGTGAAAGACACACCTTCACATTCTGCCTGGGACGACGATGACGGCACGCCACACAAAATGTCGTCGTGGGATCTGCCCACGCCCTCATCCTCCCACCGCCATTCCCGAGACAGCGATTGGTCGATTCGTAGTAGCAACCGGTCCTTCAGAGAGAGATCTCAGAGTAGAGTACCTCGTCAACAAAGTGACAAGACTCCATTGCCAACACCTTCATACAAGTATAATGTATGGATGACAGAAAGAGAAGGTAAGATGGAAAGAGAATTTGAAAATGAAGAAGAAAGGGAGAAGTGGGAGGAGGAAGAAAAGAGATTGGATAGACAGTGGTATGACATGGACCAGGGCTATGATGATACCAACAACCCATTCTCTGATGTGTCTGCTGAGTATGAAAGAAAGAAAACTGAGAAGATTGAAAAAAGTAAAAGAAAGATGAGTGCAAAACAAAGACAGATTCATAAAGACAATGAATTATGGGAAACTAATAGAATGTTAACAAGTGGCGTTGTACAAAAAATTGATTATGACGAAGATTTTGAAGAGGAGTTTACCAATCGTGTGCACATTTTGGTACACAACATCGTTCCCCCATTCCTCGATGGACGTATTGTGTTTACAAAGCAACCAGAACCAGTGATTCCAGTGAAAGACTCCACCTCAGATATGGCAATTGTGTCCAGAAAGGGTTCGGCAGTTGTCAAAGCTCGACGTGAGCAGCGGGAGCGTAGAAAAGCTGCCAAAAAAGAATGGGAACTTGCTGGTACACAACTTGGTAATCTTATAGGTGTGAAAAAGGAGGACGAGACAGATGATAGGAAGATTGAAGAGGGTGAAACTGACTATAAAGCAGATCAGAAGTTTGCCGAACACATGAAGGCAGCAAGTGAAGCTAGTAGCAACTTTGCCAGAGAGAAAACAATTAAAGAACAACGTCAGTACCTTCCAGTTTTTGCAGTGAGAGAGAAGCTCCTCCGTATAATTCGAGAAAATTCAGTGGTGATTATTGTGGGTGAAACAGGAAGTGGTAAGACGACGCAACTAACACAGTACCTTCACGAGGGAGGATACAGCAAACTAGGTATGATTGGGTGTACACAACCACGTCGAGTCGCAGCTATGTCCGTTGCCAAGCGTGTTTCTGATGAAATGGATACTCATCTTGGTGAAGAAGTGGGCTATGCTATACGATTTGAGGACTGTACAAGTGAAAATACCATAATTAAATATATGACTGACGGTATACTGCTTCGTGAATCTTTACGCGAGAGCGATTTAGATAACTACAGTGCAATCATAATGGACGAGGCTCACGAACGTTCCCTCAGCACAGATGTGCTCTTTGGTTTACTCCGTGAAGTTGTGGCTCGTAGACAGGATCTAAAACTCATAGTAACATCTGCTACAATGGATGCCGAGAAATTTGCCACTTTCTTTGGTGAAGTACCAGTATTTACAATCCCGGGACGAACGTTCCCCGTGGAATTACTCTATTCCCGCAATGGGGTGGAGGACTACGTAGAGGCTGCAGTAAAACAGGCATTACAGATACATCTTCAGGCTGAGGAGGGTGATATTTTAGTCTTTATGCCTGGTCAGGAAGATATTGAGGTAACATGTGAACTGATTGTGGAAAAGTTGGATGAGATTGATAATGCACCTCAGTTGGCTGTGCTTCCCATATACTCACAACTCCCTTCTGATCTTCAAGCCAAGATTTTTCAACGTGCTCCAGATGGCCTTCGTAAATGTGTCGTAGCTACCAATATTGCCGAAACCTCCCTCACTGTGGATGGTATAAAGTATGTGGTAGATTCTGGATACTGTAAATTAAAGGTGTTCAATCCTCGAGTTGGTATGGATGGCCTTCAAGTTTACCCAGTCTCACAGGCTAATGCCAACCAGCGTCTTGGAAGAGCCGGCCGCACTGGTCCTGGCATGTGTTATCGTCTCTACACAGAAAGGCAGTACAAAGATGAGTTATTACCTACAACAGTCCCAGAAATTCAGCGCACCAATCTAGCCAATGTAGTTCTCCTTCTTAAGTCGTTGGGGGTCGAAGATCTTCTTAAATTTTATTTCATGGATCCTCCTCCCCAAGATAACTTACTCAACTCACAGTATCAATTATGGACCCTTGGAGCCTTGGACAACACAGGAGTTTTGACAAAATTAGGGCGTGCAATGGTTGAATTCCCTTTGGATCCTGCACTTTCAAAGATGTTGCTGGCTGGTGTTGATATGCAATGTTCTGAAGAAATCTTGACCATAGTATCCATGTTATCAGTACCAGCATTGTTCTACCGGCCTAAGGGTCGTGAAGAGGAAGCTGATGCTATGCGAGAAAAATTTCAAGTGCCAGAATCAGATCATCTGACATATCTCAACATCTATCGTCAGTGGCGTCTTCAGAAATATTCAATGAACTGGTGCAATAAACATTTTTTGCACTTTAAAGCACTTAAGAAAGTTAGGGAGGTGAGGCAGCAGCTGCATGATATTATGGACCAACAAAAGCTTGAATTAGTCAGCTGTGGTATGGATGAAGATTTGGTGCGTAAGTGCATTTGTGCTGCATACTTCCACCAAGCGTGTCGTCTCAAAGGTATTGGTGAATATGTGAATTTAAGGACAGGGACACCGTGCCATCTACATCCAACCTCAGCCCTGTTTGGTATGGGTTACACTCCTGATTACATTGTTTACCATGAATTGGTTATGACAAGCAAAGAATACATGCAGTGTGTGACTGCTGTAGAAGGAGGTTGGCTGGCTGAAGTTGGAGATAAGTTTTATAGTGTCAATGAAGGAGGTGCATCTCGAATGGAGAAACGACGTCAGGCTTTGGCACATAAAGCTGCCATGGAGGCAGAAATGGACCGGGCCCAGGACACCTTAAAGGCACGAGCTGAAGAAAGACAACGTAGACAAGAGTCATCACGTCGTCAGCAAGTGTATGACATTGGTACACCCAGGCGTGTGCAAACATCTGCCCGCTTTGGAATCTGAATGGCAGATATAAAGAATACTTGGTAATGTTTTGAGAAAAATTGAGCAAGATACAGTATTATGGTGTAAACATGCATTCTCAGCCCATAAACCTCATTTTCTCTCCTGGGATTAGACATTGTTAAGTATAAGAACTGGTAATTGCCCAAGTTGAAACTATAGCTAAGTGTTATACCTATCTAACTTGTAGATAAACCCTTAGGTAAAATGATGCAGTACTTGTCACCATACTGACTCAAACTTTTCTGTAATTTGAATCAACTTTTTTTTATGCTGGGTGCCCTCTTTAACAGGGCTCGTAACTTTTGAATCATAAGTCTAATTGAGCTAAAAACTGGAATTTGGTGTTTGTTAGCATGTACTGTAAAATGTTATAAACACATTATAGAGAAATGTGGGATGGTGTAGAGGCAACTTTGATTTGTGGACCACTTTTTGTAGCATACCAGTCTTGTACTGTAGTGGTATTACATAGATATTTATAAGTTTTAGTTCTAGGGTGTTTGTGTTCTTCTAATTCTGTATGCAGACAACTACTTCAATTGTGAGGAAACTCTTCAAACAGTGTGCAGTATTTTTTAATACTGTACAGTACTTTGATTTATGGTTAAACCATAAAAAGAAAAGAAAACCATTAGGAGAGAAAGAGCAACCCTTTCCTTTTTATGAAACTGATGGTGCTTCATCTAAAGCTAACTTCTCTACCATCTCTTAAATTATATTATAATATATTCAAAGTTTGTTTTAATTGTATATCTATGTACATACAGTATAAGATACAATACATAGCACTGAGCCTTGGTTTGAGTTTGATGACAGAACTTGTACAGTTTTGGTATTTTTATTTTCATATAATTAATTTTCATGTGTAGGAATTCTTGCATAAACATAATATTTTTGTAAAATTAATGTATAAAAATATTGATATTAAAGTATTACATTGTATCAAACAGCTTTCTTATTTATATGGTATTTCAGGCGCAAATTTAGTGCAGTCACTCCAAGCGTATTGTTGTGGCTGGTATGCACGTGGTCCCCTATGTCCACGCCATTGTCTATCACTGTCCTCACCGCTGGCTGCCTCAACAAACTTGATATCATCTGAATCTGTTTCCTCCCCATCATTGTCTTTGTCACCCAATATTATATCAATGCCACTCAAATCAACAACTCTTGATGAATAACACTACTGTCAAGGGTGTGGAGGAGCGAGGCGGGTCAGGAGACGTCAAAGATCGTGCATTCTATCATGATTGCTGGTGGGTAACTGGACCAATAGACTTGATACAAAAATTATGTGCGAGTTGAGTTGCCAAGTAAATAAACATCCTATAAAAAGTACTTCATCCCGCCTGGATATTCAAACTATGCCAAGCAAATTAAGGACGTAGAGGAACGTCACCCAGGGTAGCTATGGTGGACATAAAGAATGTCACCCGGGGTTTAAGGGTGAAATCTCATTGTTTGGTCAAGGACTTGGGGAATGACCACTTGAGATCCAGCATGCTGAACTCCCATTGCCACAGGGCAGTGTAATTTACCAGCAAGACAATTATTTGAATGAATAAAGTATAGGGTGAGGCATGCTGGAACTGGAATCTATTTCTATATAGTATAGAAATCGATTGCTGTTCCAGCACGCCTCACCCTAATTACGTAGTGGCAGCCCGTATAGCTAGCAGTGATAATACATTAAGCTCAATACTGTACTCACCCCAACACAAGTGGGGGATCAAACTAGGCCTAGTGGTAAATCAGAGCATCTTAAAGGAATAAGATTTGTATCATATCAAAGCAATTTCACCTTCCTAGCTTTCCTCCTGTCATGGAGATTAAAAGGATGTAGCTACCAGGCAAGTCCCTCTGATATGATGCGTGGTGTAAAAGGATGTATCAAGCATGTCCCTATGGCTCAAGGGGTTAATTGAAGAATGTAACACCTTGTATTAAGATGACTAAGGCAATGAATTTGGGACACATTCTGGGAGCATAAATCTTGATGATCCTTCAAATTAGATACAGTGCAGTATATGGATGGAAGAAAACTTATTTATATGGATTGTATTCCTCAAGAGGTGTTTCTAAAATTACCTACTTATTTGTTATTAGAAACTTGAAAATGTTTTAGGCAATATGTAGGATGTCATTGATGGTCTTTTGAAAGATATTTGAAGACAGTTATACAAAAGGTTAACTGCAAATTCTTCTTTAGAGGGTCTAGCTATTACACACAAGATGTCAGTATTATAGAAAACCTATTTTGATCAAAACCCCTCACAAATGAAAGAAATAGAATGAAGTTCAGTGACTTATCTGTACACTACCTGTTATCTTGAATATTTTCCGTGACACCTCATGTTGTCTGTTTGAAGATTCTCTTGGGGGATTCAGCCAAAATTGTGCAATTTCTTGCTTGCTGTGCAAGTTGCCCACATTTGTGCCAGTGGTTGCAATCCTAGGAAAGGTTGTCAAAGTTGAAACTACCATAAATAAATAGTAGTTTCCATAGTAAAATGGTGGGGGGGGGGGTGTGTGTGTTCATAACCACAGCTAAAGTCCCCCTTTTAATATTTCTGTATGGTTTTAATTTATGCATACACCAATAGCAGTTTTATAACTAAATACATGTCAAATGGAAACCCTCTTCCTATTACTGATAAGCGCTTTCTCTAGGCAGGAGTGGGAACTTGCTCACCAAGCGCACTGATCCAGATTCAAACGCTACGGCAATCACAGCTAGGCTGTGAATTATGAATATTTGACCACTTGTTATATGTTGTATAAATATCACTTCAATTTAACAGACTTTTGGCACCAACGGATGCCCCTTAACCCTTATTAATCCATTAACTTGAGGTTTTAATGACTAAAAAAAGGGAGAATAAAAAACTCAACTGTATAGCATTACTATTTATTAAACAAAAAACTCGTAATACAGCTCCTGGCTTACTAGATAATTAATAGTGTATACTGTACAGTACCGCACACAGGTAATAACATAAAACTTTTGAACTTGACTCGAGCATGCGTGAGACAACTGAATGTTATACTAAAGGACAGAGAAAGAAGATCTAGTATTTAAAGACTAAGCTTTCACTTGATTGGTGCTGCTATTGCATTACAACTTACTATAATATGTACTGTAGCATCATTTTTAGACATAGCAAAACAATTTACACAATATTTTACTGCATAAAATTTTTGGAGGGGTAACAATATACAGACAGACCCCGACTTACGACCGCTTCAGATTTTTTATTAAAAAAATATTTTTTTTTCTTCAAATGACACGCATTTTCTATACCGAAACGTTTCCAGTTAATGTAGTCTCCATGTATAATTAGAAAATTATGGGGGCCCCATGTACATTCAGCTGACTACATTAAAGATAAGTGCTCATTATTCATTACTTTTACTGTACTGTATTTCATTGTAGATTATTTGTTTAAATTTTTTTTTTTTTTTTTTTATCTATGTCGGACTTACGACCTGGATTTGGGTCCCTAACCCCGTCGTAAGTCGGGGTCTAGCTGTACACCAAAAAATTAGGCCCCGTATTTTATTTTATAACAGAAATAAAGAGGTTATATATAAATTTATTAAAAATTAATGAACACACGACTGGTTCACTTGTCAAGCCCATTAACTTGTCACCCAACTAACATAATGGGGAGGATACTCGTTCTTTTCAATGCTAAACTCCAAGACAGTGACAACTGATCCACCAGTAATGCAAAAAAGCCAATAAGTTCTGAATAAACCACAATAAACAATAAATCGGTTATGAAATTAAACATTAATATTCATAAATGACACAAATGGAATATATAATCATTAAACTAAAAGGCTTCCAATATCTGCTAGATTATTAAATGCCTCATTCATCCAGATTTATGACCATCCAAACTTGAGGTTTTAAAAAAGGACATATACTGTAAATGTGACTTAAAACTTATCAAGGTATTTATTAATTATTTTTTTAATCTCATCTGATTTGTGTACTTTAATCAAATTACTATAAAACAGAGAATGGCAAGATTATTAGATACAGCATCCTGTTGATAGAGAGAAATGAATGTTACAGGGAGAACAAATTAATACTACGTACTGTACAGTACTTACTGTAGAATAGATCCCATGAAAAGGGACGAGTAAAACTCAAACTACTAATCCAAATAAATAAATTCCACAATACCTGAATGGCTAAAAACATAGTATGATCCATTCTGGTTGCTTAGGTGTCGACTTAAAAATGGTGGTTCCCTCTGCCATGACAATGTTCTAAATAATAAAAATCTTTCACGTTTGTGATGGAGGCAATATTTTTGGATTTCCTCAGCTCCAGTTTTAATCTGCTGTAAATGTAGCAGACGAAATGTCCATGGTTGAGTTTGCCGCTGACCTTGTCCGTGATCGCAGTCGTAACTCTGTTGCAAAGTTGGGAGATACGGGGACAGTAGGTGGATGCTGTCCATGCTCAATAACCATGGGTTTAAATTTCGGGACAGGATTAGCCTTGTGGACAGCCTCCTGACGCAATCTTCTTATTCCCAATTCTTGTTCTTTTGCCTGCATCTCCTCTTGCTGTAAAAAAAAAAAAAAAAAATTATATATATATATATACTGTATATACAGCTAGACTCCGACTTACGACCGCCGCGGTTGTGACCATTTTTTCCCCCCAAATGACATACGCATTTTTTATACCGAAACGTTTCCAGTTAATGTAGTCTCCATGTATAATTAGAAAATTATGGGGGCCCCATGTGCGTTCAGCTGACTACATTAAAGGTAAGTGCTCAGTCACACTGTATCCATTCCTCATTATTTATTACTTTTACTGTACTGTATTTCATTGTAGATTTTTTATTAAAAAAAAAAATAAATAAATAAAAAATCTATGTCGGACTTACGACCTGGATTTGGGTCCCTAACCCCGTCGTAAGTCGGGGTCTAGCTGTATTTCATTTAGTCCATATAGCATGTGGACTTCAACATATAATCAACGACCTCACCAGCCAGGACTCGAACCCTCGACCTTATGCGTGTGACCAGGGATTGCTACCATCGTGCCACAAGGACACTAAAAGCAATCCTAGACTTTGTTATATTTCATTGTGCTGATGGCGCCGTGAACCTCCAATTGGGGATTGTCCGTGCCACTTATGTGGTCGGAGTAGCATTTTACCGAATCCAGCTTTGAAACTCGAGGTTCCATATATATTTCATTTAGTCCATATAGCACGCGGACTTCAACATATAATCAACGACCTCACTAGGTTCACGGCGCCATCAGCACGATGAACAGGCTTTGTGTGAAATATAACCAAGTCTAGGATTGCTTTTAGTGTCCTTGTGGCACGGTGGTAGCAATTCATGGTCACACGCATAAGGTTGAGGGTTCGAGTCCTGGCTAGTGAGGTCGTTGATTATATATATATATATATATATATATATATATATATATATATATATATATATATATATATATATATATATATATATATATATATATATATTACACACACACCTAGACCCCGACTTACGACGGGGTTAGGGACCCAAATCCAGGTCTTAAGTCCGACATAGATAAAAAATCTACAATGAAATACAGTACAGTAAAAGTAATGAATAATGATGAATGGATACAGTACAGTGAAAGTAATAAATAATTAAGGAATGGATACAGTGTGACTGAGCACTTAACCTTTAATGTAGTCAGCTGAATGCACATGGGGCCCCCATAATTTTCTAATTATACATGGAGACTACATTAACTGGAAACGTTTCGGTATAGAAAATGCGTGTCATTTAAAAAAAAAAAAAATTTTTTTTTTTATCTATATCTGAGGCGGTCGTAAGTCCCGACGGTCGTAAGTCCACGTAGTCGTAAGTCGGGGTCTAGTGTATATATATATATATATATATATATATATATATATATA